GTCCATCTTCCAGCATTTGTCCAATCAATAGGGGTTTCCTCAGTCTGTGAGAGCATTTGTCCAGAATTTCCAAAGTATTGAGTTTCTGACCTTCTCTTAGGCATCCTTTTATGCTACATCTGCTAGATTTATGTTTGTCATCAATAAGATCACCATAAACAAGTTTGCAGTCAAAAATTCTACGGTAAACACGGGAGATTTGGACAGAGCAAGGTCATCTCTCCTCCACAGGGCTCCCTTCTCCAACCACGTCTTCAGCTTTCAGCCTATTGTCATGGCTACGGTCTCATCTTGTTAGGGGGTTGAGACAATTCCATGCATACCACAGAGAATGTGTTTTTCATTGGTCTGCTACAGTTGCGAGAACTCAGCACTTCAGCAAGTCAGACTCAATTGCCAAGCATTCGGGAGATGAAGTGCAGCTCATAAAAAGGTCCATTTTAAGTGGTTGCCTAGAACCAAGGTCTGTGCCAGAGAGGACACACTTTAACTCGTAAATATACTAAAATAGAGGTTGAATGTCAAAAAAGCTGAAACTGTATGCAATTCACAACCAGCTCAGGCCAGTTAGTTTGCAAAACTGTCCCTAGGGAACAGGTAGGTGATAAGACTGATACAGACAAGATACAGACAAGAAAATGATTCTATTTTAGAAAATGGAATCCATGCTGACTCTGTGCATAATACCAGGTATCCTACATCACTTAAAGGAAAGGCAAAAATAGTATTTTCGCTTGCCCTTGTAAATGGGACGTAATTGCTTGGGATAATATGAAATGTATGGTCTACTTATAGGTACTACTGTGCCAGGGCATAGGTAGTTGTATCGCTGCGCATGAACAGGACACTGGGTCACAGAAATTGTACTCCCATCTCAGTGTTGATTGATAAGTTGAATTTTTTAGGAAATATGGCAAATTTACAGAAGAGTTTCCTGTGAAAACAGAAACTAAAGATGTACTTACACTTCAAGTACCTTATAATGATCTTTTTTCCTGTTTTTCTTTTCTTTTTTTTTTTTTTCTTGTTTCTTGTGCTGACTTCTTGAAGTCAGAGGAATCATAGAATTGCTCAGGTTGGAAAAGACCTTGAAGATCATCAAGTCCAACCACCTAACCATACTACTCTAACTCTTAACAACCCTCTGCTAAATCATGGCCCTGAGCACCACATCCAAACGGTTTTTAAGCACATCCAGGGATGGTGACTCAACCACCTCCCTGGGCAGCCTATTCCAGTGCTGAACAGCCCCTTCTGTAAGAAGTGCTTCCTGATATCCAATCTACTCTTACCCTGGCACAACTTGAGGCCATTTGTCCTTGTCCTGCCACCAGTGAGAAGACACCAACCTCGCTCTGCTGTAAGAAACTTTCAGATATTGGAAGAGAGCAATAATGTCTTCCTCCCCTTCCAGACCTTCAGAAGTGTGCAGTAGATGGGTTGTCTCCCATCCTCCAAGTCCCTCTGCATGCCTCCTTCTCCCCTAGGCAATCAACCAGTTTCCACTTTTGACAATTACACCCATTCCCCACGCTACTTAAAGTTTCTCAGCACCTTTCCCTACTTGCAGGTCAGAGGAATGACTCACTGCTGCATCACTGGAGACACAGTTTGAATGAATACAGGTAGCAGAAGGAACAGAAATGAACGAGTATGAGAAAAACCTTTTTGATTGAATGTTTCACTGAGTGTAACTGCACGTAATTCAACACTACGTTCAGTACTGCACAATTTCTGTGAAATATTGAGTGTAAGTTAATAGTACAATGGCAATCCTACAGGTAAATAAAATCAAATTTGGAGTTGGAGGGGTTGGTTGTTGTTCCATTTTTATTTTTTGTTTTTGTTTGTTTGATTTTAATAACTGCATTTCCCAATTTAGTGTTCTCCACTGGTGCTAATTCATAGTGTGCGTTCTGGCAGTTCTTGCCTAGCTATAGGTGTGGCATACTGTTGCAAATAGGCTTTTGTATATAATTTGTTGGTAACGTTCGAGACAACACCTGTGATAGAAATAGTGTTAGAAATATTTGGGGAAAAAAAGCCAAGTTTTTTCTTTTCTGTTCATTATGAAAAATTCTAGCTTAATTAGGAGTTTAACTTGATTTGAACTCACAATAAGCTCTGACGGTTTGAGAGCTGGGAAAACCATTACCTTCACTGCAATTCCCATTTTGGGATGTATTTTGCACATTCTGTCAGTCAGAAATCATTCAATTTTCAGAACTTCTGATAATGTTGCAGGAGTATAGATAAAAGCACAGAGCAGGTCTACATTTATAGCTCATAAAGAAAGTGAACAGATGCTGTGAGAAGTGATGCAACTATTTTAAAGCCAAGGGTTTTTTAAATATTGCTTGTAATGTAAACATGACTAGCAATACTGTTTACATCCATCACATTCCATGGCTATTATACAGCACTAAAAAGTTGGTAAACTTTCTAGGTATTTCAAATGGATTTATGAATTCATTTGGATTTTGATCTGTTTAACACTGAGCTTTCTGCATTGAAGTTGATGGTTTGGAAGTGTTTTTATTCTTTTAAGTTACTTCAGTCTTACTTTATTCCTAAGATTTTTGCCTAAGATTTTGGGAATAATGGTGTGAATTTCATAGCAGGCAGAGCGCACAGGAATCTGGAGAAGCTCTGTACATAGCTATCAATAATGCATCTCTTTGTATTCTCAGGGGCTCATATTTCCACAGACAGCTACAATCAATTCAAAGAAATTGTAAGATGGAAAACAAAGAAAACGTGGTGGGCTCTCCTACTCTCAGGGCTTTTGTCCAAGCAGATGCAACCATTACAGATCAGAACTTACATGTTTTAAAGTAGCTAATAAGAATGCTGACCTAATGAGCACAAATATTATCAGCAAAACTACAGTCAAGAAGGTCCCTTCCTTTGTGAATAAACCTATCAAGTGACCTAGTGAATAGAACACATCTTTGTTCCAGCATGATGTCAGATATGCTGGACTAGACTCTTACAGTTAAACAAGAAGAAAACAAATTAACACTTTTTTTAATGTCAGTGGCACATGGAGTCTTGCCATGAACTTACTGGTAGAAGAATGGGCTCCAATAGGTTTTTCATGTGTGTGACTGAACAGTGATCAGTGTCTAGATGTAGATGAAGGTGTGGGTCCAGCAGAACACACTGAAGGAATTTTACTCAAGTGAATAATTCTGTTTGATTGGAAACTCATGTGAAGAAATGGTTCAGCCCTAATTTTGCAGAATAATTTATAGACATGTAAAACACAATGAAAAATAAGCACAAAATCAGACTAATACATCTTGCAATATCATGTAGATTAACTGTTGAATCGCAGTTGTTAATGTTAGTGGCTCTGTGTTAGAAGTTTAATGTTGTAGGTTCTGCCATTAATTTCACCACAGACAATGAATGATACAGCTTAAGCCCTTCAGCTGTAGCTGCACCCAATTAGCTATAGACGTATCAGGAAATGCATTCATGATGAAGTTGGCTATACTACATGGGTTTTATGCTTTTTATGGGTTTATATCACGAATATTCACTTTGTGATTTCCATGGTTGAAAACTTTTTAATGTTTTTATCCTCATTAGATTGTGCAGACTGTCTTCTTTGAAACATCCACCAGCCCAAAATGCAGGGCTTACTTGCTGAGGTTCTCCACCTTTTTCAGAGTGCTTTGGAACAGAGTGACCTCACAGCTGACCTCACCTCTGAGGGCACTCTCATACATCCTCTGGGCATTTACACTGACAGACAGCAACAGACTTGGCCAGCACGGCATGTTTTGAAAGAATGAGGCCAGTGTGGAGCAGTGGGAGAAAGCCAATGGCACACCAAGAATTCAGTAATACAGAGTGAGTTATGGAGACTCCAAAGTGAATCAGAGTACAATTGGTATCAGGCCCTGAGATGAAGGCTTCAGGAGCATTTAAACTCTGTGTTAGTTCTGCTATGCAGCTGCTAATGGGGACATCCAACACCCCATGAGAAGCCACTTTCTGCTGACTGTCACAGCAGACAAAAATCTGAAACTTAAGGACACTATAGAACCAAAATGGCTAACAGACCCTAATGTCAAAACAGCATAGAAGGCTACGTGAATATGGTAATAATTATAATCACATAAGCAATAGCAGAACTTTGCACTCAAAGTCTTGTCTGCATGATCCTATAGCACTTATACCAGCATATGTTATATTTGTGTACACAAAACCATAAAATACTCATCACAAAACAACAAAGCCAAAACATCTAGTTACATTCTGCAAAATTTGGTCTGAATCTTTTGGGTTTATTACCACAGTAACATAACGTTGGTTTTACACTTTCACCAGAGTTTCAGTCTTTGCTCTGTGCAAGAATTTTTCTTTGTTAAGTTGTGGGTACCATGGGAATATGAAGAACGTAAATATGGCACTGAATGGACTACTTAATTCCAGATAGAGTAGTAACTTGAAAGTATGCTAAGAAAAACTATTAAATCATCTTAATTAATAATCTAATATTCAAGATTTTTCCTGTAATCAGATTTTGTGCCCTTTCAAATTCCTTTGTTATCACAGCTCATGTTACAGAAAAGCCTCCTGCCTCTTATACCTCTGGAGAACAGTATTCACTCATGTACAAGAAATTTAGAAATGCAATAAACAGTGCTGTAAAAGACAGAATATCTGCAATACATAGGCTTAAATAACATTAGTATTTACATAAAATAGGCTCTTATTTAATAATGTTACAGTCAAAGCTGAGTAAGAAGCCAATTATTTTTGTGCAGCAATTCCATAAGTGCTTTTTGAATAAATAAATAAATAAATAAATAAATAGATAGATAGACTTTCTTGTCCAGATCTAATTCCAGATCTAATGTGAACAGATACTGAAATACCTAATTAGATGACATGAAATCACTCAGTATTATATAACTATGTGCTATAAACATGCATTTTCCCCAAAGAAATACAACACAGTCACACAAGTAAGAAGAAATATTGCTTACCTTCCTTAGCAAATACTCCGTGGAGGCAGAGTAAATCTGGTCATAAAAGAAAAAACAAGATTGATGTGTACAACTCACACACATACAGACAACAGACACAGTCTTCTCCAGGAGGAATGCCTGTTGTAGCCTTCTGTGCATGTTTCTTACTTATCCACACTGTAGTCAAACTATGCTTAAAATCCCATTCCGTGGCACTGCTATAGGCACCGACATGCTGTATAAATGGTACTTACTGTTCCAGCAGTCACACATTGTCCTATGGAAAATATACACTCCAAAAGTGGGATTTGTTACAACTGAGCAGACTGTGGTAAAACACTGTGCCTGACTTGTCAGAGAAATGTTGCTTTCACTGATCAGCACACAATCACAACGCATACTATCCTTACCTCCTATGTACGTGCATGCATGTGTACACACACATGTTTACTGAAAGAGTCGCAGCCTATCTCTCACAGCCTCACGCTGATTGCTGGATAGGGGAAAAAATCTTAGGATTACACACAACCATTTCCCTTGACCACGACTTTCGCACACATTTCTCACGTAGTGCAACCAAGATGAGCGATGCTTGGAAGCATTTATAACCCAGATGCAAGTGATTATTCACATAAGGCACCGAACTCATTTTGGCTTCCCCTGTGAGAGAGAGCAGCGCTACTGCTGCAGCAGTGCAGTCGCTGTGCTGTTACTCATTTGCTGCAGCCTTTGTGCAGGAGTACACGTTAGAAACAAATTAGTAACGCAATAACATCCAATACTCAGAAGTAAAGAAAATGATGGAGAATCAATCAGATCCTACGGCAGGCATGCAGATGGGCTGTAAAAACATTTAACGGGAGATAGATTTTCCTGTGCTGTCAAAGTTAACGGCACCAAAAGGAAGCATACACTGAGGCATTTTTCCTCCTCTGTGATATTGATCCGATGCCAGACGTAGTGAAGCACAACGGGCACACAGTCAACCTTGGTAAATTAGGTAAATTGGAGATCATTTGACGGTATTCTATTGTTGCTATTGTAATCACCGTAATTTTCACTGGTAATGGTGCTTCGTGATGAAGTGCGGCTCTCACAGGATAATTGTGAAAGGTATCGAAAGACACAGGGTGTAGCATCTGGTTTTAAAAGCTCTTCAGATTCAAATTGGCATTTTACTTTATCTTGAAAATTTATTAGAGATTCAGATCGTGCCAGTTTAAATGGAAAGGTGAAAGCAGGGTAATTTCAATCTATGAATTATTCAGATTCAGACTGGTGAAATTGCCATCCATGAACTGATTCCCTGACAGTTTCTTGCAGAGCCTCCATTATGCTTGTCATTTTTATTTCTTTATCTACGATCTCTCTCTCAGTTACTGCACTTGTCCCTTAGGGCTGTGCTTCACAAACCAAGTATTTCAAATTGGCAATAACCTAAGCGTGTTGCAGTCTCCAATCGCAGTCTCCACAGGCTGTCTTTTCCAAATCATTAAAACCCACATCCACGACGGTGTCTGTTAGGCTCTTCGATTAGATGGATTGCAAAAAAAAAAAAAACAACAAAAAAACCCCCACAAAACCAAACAGGGCTTCGTAGCAAAGATGAGTCGGGTTCCTGTAGCAGTCCAGCAAATAAAGTGATGCTTTGTGCTGGCTCCTTTGTTGTCAGTGTAACCCATTCTAGCTGCATAGCATCACGCAGAAAGAAACAACTGTTAAGGCAGGCTGACTTCGTGCCCTGGTTTCCAGCAGAAGCAGATAAGGGCTGCATTACCGACAGACTAATCTACGCAAATACCCACACAGAGAGAGCACGAGGAGTAGCTTCTTTCAGGCAAGGAAAAACAGATGCAGTAGTAGTAGCAGTTGTAGCAATTGCATTATTAGAAGGAGAAGCGACCGGATAACGGGAACTGTTTCATTCTCACAGACTCCAACCCATACAGATTGCAGTCCCAGAGCCTCTCCACTTGATGGCTGGTTGTATCACTGCCAGTCGCCTGCTGCCCTGTATCCCAAAGAACTGGGACTGATTTAGGTCAGAGTCTGGTTGCTCGCTTGAGCTTTGCTACATTGATGTAAGAAACTGCAGCAAATTATATTACCCATCTGTACGGCCCGGGAATGCCAGCACGGCTTCAGAAGGGGAGCACCTGCAAAGGCCCCAGTCAGGCAAACAGAGACAAGTGCCGCCATCTCCGCGGTCCTGTGGCTGCAGGTTATCGTCACGGCACAGAGTGGGAGAGCAGCGTTCTTCCTCAGCGGCAGCGTGGGCACCGAGCTCCACGCAGTCCCTGCTCAGCCGAAAGTGCTGCCAGGCTGGAGCTAGCATATCCAGGCTGTGTCTGCTCCTGTGCTAACACCAGGAAAACGTCTCTCGGACAAAAAAATAGAGATGAGAATAAAAAATCTATGCTGCTTTGTGCCTGGGTCTATGCGTCTGCTTTGCCGCACTGCGACTAGAAAACTGCAGCACTAAGAGCTCTGGCAGTTGCGATAATGTAGAAAGCAGCAGCTCTGTGACACAGCAGTCAGCTGACTTGCAGTGTTATCATTCAATGTCCTCTATAGAATAAGGCCAGTTTCTAAGGTAGAGCCGGAAGGATGACCTTGAATACAAAAATTGGGCTAGACAGAGCGCCTGTTGTCTCGTACACTTGCACATTATTTTGGGGTGATATACACCATTTGCATCAGGACCTGCAGGTCTTCAGCGGTTTCTTCTCCCTTCCTCCCTTCCTTCTCCATTTTCAAAACAGAAGTGATTTTCTTCCTACCATAAAAGAGTCCATATGGTAACATTTAGTTGATGAAAACACCTTTAATAGGAGTTAAGTAAATTCGTTCTAAAGCATTGCTTGTAAAGAAGGTGACTACAAGAGGAGTTGATGGGTTTTGGTTAGAAAAAAAGAAACTACAAAATACTCCTGGAGAGGGAAAGCAATCAGGTGAACACCTCTGAACTGCAAAGGTTAATTAGCAAGAACTAATTTCTGCAGTCGTCCAGGCATCTCGTTACCTAGGATGATTTTCATGCTTCTGTGTAGCTCCCAACTAAGTTCACTGGGAACGTTTGCCTACTCATTCCTCTGGGAAGTTGGAGGGCGGAGCTGTAAAGTGTGCAGATATGGGAAATGATCAGAGTTCTGAATCAGCAGGAGGCAGTGCCTCACCTCCACTGGGGACTTTGAAAATTGAGGATGTCGCGCACGCTCTTGAAAGACTTCACCACGTGTCTGCCTACCTAAGGGATACGTCAAGGTAGAGAAGCCATGTCCTAAATTGTTATAAATTAACTACCCCAAGGTTATAGAAAGAATTGTAGGACAGGTCAGCTTTCACTGATCTCAGTGGAGATAAGGCATATTTGCACAGGTCTGAATTTAATTGGTTTTCACTGTTACTACTGCAGATGTGCATTTCAGTGAGATGCTTTATAAATTCATTATAAAGTACTTGTAAAGTCAAATAAGCAAGCAAGCATTATACACCAAGTTGGTATTCCCCATTATAGCTCTTTTTGTGGAAATTGCATCAGCATTACATTGGGCATAATACAGAATTCAGCTGTAAGAAAGCAATTTGTACCAAAGAAAGAAACAAACAAACAACAAAACTTCAACAAAACCATAAAGATGGCAAAAGCTGTGCTGCATCTTTAAGGAGCAATTCTCCTGGACAACAGAGAGCAGAGCACCCATGCAAAGACTGCACGTCCACTGCTATATTCCTTCAGGGAGAGAAATGTCTGTTCTCATACATATCCAGTTAATGGATGAGTAAAACAGCCACAGCCCTGTCTCTTCTTTAACAATTTTTTATTAAATGCCCCTAAGGCCACTACTCCCGCAGTCAGCAAAATCAGCACAGACGTCTGGTGCAGAGATTCCAGCCCTCTTTCCTTTCCTTTGCATTTTATCAACTGCCCTCCTCAGCTGCTGGCTGTCTCTCCACAGCACCACACACTTGCTGCTCAAGAACACGTTTTCATATTGCCATGATATGATAGAAGCTGGGAAGAAGCATGATATCTAGGCAAACTCCAAAAAGACAACGATGTGAGTTTTCGTGCCTTTATGGATTTGCCGGATCGTGGTGTCATCTTAATAAACATCATGCAGTGTCTGTTGGTTCTCAGAGTCAGCATCAGAGGCCCCCCCAGACAAAAGATGGGGAAAGAAGGGGAAACTCTTTCTGTAACTGGTCATGGTTCTCTTCTGCTGAGCTCCAGTTTCCCTTGCCTCTCTTTGTCCTCACGATAAGCTGGGTGGATGTTCCTCCAACAGGGGTCTGTCGAGCACCATGTCTTCCTAAGCAAAAGGCAGTCTGTAGATGGCAGAAGATGTTTTTCCACCAACTATCATAGCTGTGGGTGGGGAGAGGGGAGGAAGGAACATTTCTCTCCTCTTTCCAACTCGGTGGAGCTAGCTGCAGATGTATCAACCACAAACACAACATTTCTCCCAAGATTTTTCCCTTCAGTTCCATCGTCTCTTTGGGAATAGGCAGATGTGCTTTATTTGCCCAAAGCTCTGCAAGGCTGGAATATCTATCTTGCAATCTTTGCTGATGAAAGGGTGCAGGAAGCCAGCTGGCTCTGGCAGCAGTGCAAGGAGGGGGCAGGCCCTGGGGGGGGTCAGGAATGAGTGAAATACAGGATGGGGCATATCCACTCACTCGTTTTGGAGCTTTCCTGAAACCCACATCAGGTGCTGGTTCTGAGATTGACTCTTCATTTTAGTTTTCTGGTGTTGATGAAGGCTAATACAATTTCCTACATAGAGAGCCCCTTCTCTGGTCATTACATCCCTCACCCCCTGCCTCTCCTGAAACCAAGATCTTAATTTGGTTTGTTGCAGAAGGTTCAGAGTTCAGTGTTTTGATTAGTTCTTGGCTATATATGCACATGTATGTACTACATTACACTGCATATTACATTATATTTAGAGTAAGGAATCACGCTTGGACAAATTTGGGAAAAGGGACTGCAACATTGAAAGTTTCACCTTGTTTACCACTTAATAACTCTGGGAACAGAACAGATTAAAATTCTGCCTTTTTTTCTCCCCCCTTTTTCTTTCTTACAGAAATGAAAATTGCATCCAAGGCCCTAAATTGTATGCCAAGTTTTAGCTGAACACAATTAGAAACAGCTTAAAGTGAAAACTTGAGGGCTGATGATATTAAAGGGTTGTTCTCTCACAGGCTCTTAACCATAGCAGTGCTGATAGGATGCTGTATCAGAGCTGAATGGCATCACCGAATTTATCTCATGCAATATCTGAAATTATGGACACGAGACATTTTATGTATCCTTTGGATGTTGTGTGCCCCCTTCCTAAACACAAGCAACACCACGTTCATTCAGCTGCTGTTATTTTAAAATGTTCAGAGCATCACTGCAGATTAATGAGGCGTTTTATACTGCACATTTTTTCTGTTTCTTAGGTTTGTTACAGATATTAGCTAGTGCATGTACTTAAGTGTTAACCTTTTACTCAACTGATGCTTATTTTAAATGGCATTCTTCATTTTTTTCTTTTACTCCTCAGATTTTAGTAAATTTGGTTGCTTTTATTTTGTGATACTATTGTGTAACCAAGAAACAGTGGATATGTTCATCTGTAGGCTTTTCCTATCCATTATTAGGTAACAATTTAAAAGTAGATATACACATTTTCCTTCCCAATGTGCAAAGCATGGACCTACAGGTATTACAAATAATATACATGCACTGTGTAATATCTTCCCAACAGCTGGTCCTCTAAAGGTATTGATGATGCTGCATATTCAGCACTGCCCCCTGCTCCTTGTATCGTTATATAAATAAATGTTAAATCTATTTATTGAGAGGAAAATAGTCCAAAACTCTCACTTTTATCCAACAGAATTTCTCAAGGAACAAACTTTTTAAAAAATCTGAAAATGACTTCAGAAGTGGTTCCTAAGTACAGGAAAAAAGGCCTTATCAGCACTTGAGATGCAGAATTAAACTTTTACAGGCTGCCCTTGGAAGACTAGCAGAGACTAATTAGAAATATAACTTTTGTCACAGAAGTGAAAGAGAATCCTGTGTATTTCCCAATCCTGCTTCTGCAAATCTTTCCTGCTGAAACAGCTGAATCAGAACAAATTGCTTGTGTGCAAGTTACTTCAGCCATATGGTGGAAGAAAAAAGAGCTGTGGGCCTCCTCAGCACTGTAGTAAATAGGAACTACCTCCATGTGGTTTTACACATTTATAGCTAATGCAGAGACCTAAATGTGAAATCAGGGAAAATGAAGTGCATTTGTGAGTCTCCCTCTGCGACTCAGGGCTCAGAACCTATTAAAAAGATGAAACCCATCCAATTAACCAATACAGATACGTGTATTTCATTGCCGATTATTGTGCTTTTTCATTTGAGTGATTAAAATACAAATGAGGCTAACAGTGAAAAATAAAACAAAATGGCAGTGTACACAATCCACTTACAATAGCACAGGCATTTTTGATCTGACACAAAAGAGGATCACTGCTCCAGGTTGGTGAATAGGATGCGACAAGAGTGTAAGCAAAGGACAGGCACAAAAGAGACATCTTTTTGTCCGTGGCACATCATTGGTGTCAGTCACTATCAATCTCCTTGACGTGTTGAGTACATAGCTCAGAATGTATCAGCATTACTTCTGGTTGTTTTTCTTTATTGCTCCTGGAAGTCCCTACAAGCTTTCCATGACAAAAATCAAAGCTTGTGCAAAGCAATGGCTGCGTGTCTTGTAGAAGGTCACAATTACATGTTTGACCTTATTTGGATGTGACATTTGATAAATCTGGGATAATTAATCATGGAATAATCTATGAGATTATCCATGTGGGGCCTCTGTTTCTTCAGCTTTTGTTTGTGCTTCAGCTGGAATTTTTTGTTAGTTAGGAAAGACGGCAGCGGTGCCAGGGATGAATGAGGGAACAATCCTGGAAGGAAGTAAAAAGCAAAAAAAATAATATGCATAAAGTAGGGGAACCTCTATAAAAGGACAAAACTGAGTACACTCTACACATTGGCCAAACACAGCAGGCTGCAGATAAAAAGCCATCAATCTGCTACAGGCCACCCAGAAACCTGAAATTCTCCTTCAATAATATAATAAAAACAACTCACACCTACATCCAGAACCCCAAACTCTCATCAGTGTTTACACAGCTCTGTATTTTTGTGTGTCGATACGTCATTATTTTATTTTAAATTCCTTTTAAGTCCCTTCTAGATGCAGTTAGATGCAGTTTTAACAATTAATATTGCTTGCAATTAGAAAACCAATCCAGTTTGTTAATTTAAATCGTTAAAATAAACCCAGCTAAAAATAAAATTTTGAATTAAAAATTGCAAATAGAAACAAGCATGCAGGGAAGTGCTGAAGTGAATGCAATCAGTTCCAGATTTAAAACAGCCTCACCCCACACACATCCCTGTTTCCACTAC